AACCCCTAAAATCAAATTAGTGTCCACTCTCCAGAAGGCCTCCTTAATTGTTAAAATCTCCCTGCTAGAGAATCTAGGAGTAATTTCTACCAAGTGTACCAAGTACCGTTTCTTGGTCAATGATGAGGCAGGTTCTGTCCCTGAGTTCCACGAGCTAGTGCATTATAGCCATGCCTTCACAATTTATGGCGAAAGCTCCCCTACCTGGTGCCAATTTCATAGACCCGCTTAAGCACAAAATTCGCTTCAGCGCAAAATAACCTTATGCTTAAAAAAAACAAAGGTTACCAGCTCAAAATCTATGTGATTGCCGCGCTAACTAAATGACAGAGGAGTGCCATTCCCAAACAATATACATCACATGGAGTTTTGGCTGGTATACCTGATTTGTCAAGCAAGGTTTTTTTCATGCTTAAGCAAATTAAATGAAATTGGCCCCTGGCTTGGAAGCTTGCAGCCACCGGTATGGGAGTTGCTAGAGATGAAACATGCCCATCAGTTCAATTCGCAAGACGAAAGCTGTCCCTCCCGATATTAGAGATATTTCCAAGCCGTTACTTCGTCGAATTCTCATTAAGAACAAAGCACGACCAGGGATATACGGCTCTGTCACATCATCCAGTCATAATAACCCAAATGGCTGACTGCAGAGCGCGGCAGCGGGCTTAGCTTCGCATTTTTGCGAGCAACGATCGAGCTCTTAAAATTTGAAAGCCTCAAAGGTGGCATCCCGTTGGCGTTATAAATGACATCTGCCAAAACCATAGTTACCGCATTTCAGGGTCCTTTTGCGTGAAATGTAAGTCTTTCACTCTGCAAACATATCTCGCAGGATTTTTCCCCATCTTGCTGAACCGTGCCCTACTCGCTTTTTTTCTGCCGAGGTTAGCACGCGAACATGTATCAAATTCTAATCAAACAAGATCGGCCATCCGTCGTGTCAAGACCCATCGGTGACGGTCGCTAATCTGTCCTCTAATAGTCCCGCGAGGCAAGCATATGAAATCGTAGAAGCCCCCGTATTTTAATGACACCCCTGTCCACGCGAATTTTTCACGGCTCGCACTCCATGCGCTCCCAGGGTCCACCGTGGGAACACAATACATGTACATCTGTGTGCGTTCACGAGTAAGAACTGTGTAGTATAGCTCGTTGTAGCGAGTAGTCTATATGCAAATTTCAACCGCGATACCAATCGCACACAGACTCTGTAACGCTTGTTTTACGTGCCGATTGATACGACCTTGTGTATCGACAAAAAAGCCTCACCGGCGTTAAGAGCCAGGTATGCCTTTTAATTTTAATCGGGAAGGCGATCGCCGCATGTATTAAAGATAACATGGACTCTAAATTATTATTACACTCGCTGAGAGGGCCCGCTTCAGGAACCCTCCAATGGAATATAGTCGATGATTAATTGAGACGAAGCTGGGTTGATTTGGGGGCCGAAACGGTGCCGGGCTGGAGATATTAATTAAACTAGGACGAGGACGTGACGTCACGCGCGGCACAGCGCATGCGTGGGGCCGCACCTGGTTCGCTAATTGAATGCAATTTGCGGCTCTGGTCGATTTTTTGTGAGGTGCCGGTCACACTCATGTCGACAGAAAGCGGAGCCTGACTAAGGTCGGTCAATAACATTACGTATCGCACGTGTATCTTCCTCTGCGACCATATTTTTATCGAACCCATCTTCAGCTCAACATTAAGCCATGCTGGAGGCATCTCTTTAATGATTAGGCTTATCAATTCTCATGACTCCAATGTTCGTGTATTGTGTACTAAGTTTTAGAATTCTGTGCTGAGGTCAAAACCATTCCAATGCCAAACGGATCACCTAATTTAGACCTCAGTCAAGAACCCATGTTCATTTTCATTGAATGAATGAATCTACTTATGAATCTACTTAGCATATTCTGAACTTGGAAGCAAATACTACATCTTGACTGAATCCAACCAGACTGACTCCAACCAGACGTCGAGACTGAATTCTGCATTTTGGGGGAAAGGGCGAGGTTGAAATCCACATAAAAAATACCTTGATTTTTTTTCATGCTTCGAAATTTCTGAGCATGCAATTCTTTGGGCCTATTGTCAAACATGCATGTGTGTCCATATTCTTGTAAGTGCATTAGGCCTAAGCTTTTTTAACAATTACGCCTTGTTCCATTCCCACCAACCCCTTTTCCATTGACAACATTCTGAGAATTGAAAATGATTATGTTTAGTCTTGAAGAGCCCCTCCCCCGTCCTGCAACACTAGAGAATGCTCACTGAAGCGCAATAGTATACGTTTACTCAATTAGCTCCACTTGGCGGAACGTGGTTTCTGAAGAGCTGTATTGCTGCCTTGAACTGCACGTCTTTTGGTAATCCCGATTTCACACCAATATCCGTGGCGTACATCCCGTTTCCTTCAATAATGTCTTGCTTTTGTGTGAGGTCAAACCAACTCACCGTGTAATCACTTGCATTCAACGCCACTCATTGTAATGCCGCTGACCACGAGAATGTTTCCAGGGTGAATGTGTACGATCATACTGAGCGTTTTGCTCGTAATTGTATGGATTTGTCTGATCATTCCCTAAGGAGGTAAGTATGTTCCTGAAATCCGCTGTACACATCGGTTTGCCATTTCAGGCACGAGCTTTTGCAGTGTGCTCACGAGGACCGTCAGGCTCGGATGGGAGAACTAGGGGAGACTTTAATAGAAAATAAAGCCAGGTGTGAATGAAATGGCTACGGTCGATGGTAGCGCAATAACCGATGCCAATGGCTTCCATGAAAGTATGTGCTAATGGCCAAAGGCTTTGTTCAACTGTTTATGGCTTCCGACTAGTGTACCCAATTCTCGTAGAGTTTTTTCTGTTGCTCTAAGCCGTAGCCAGTTGAATACAGACAAAGCCTCAATGTCCCATGGTGATTACTCTGAACAGAAACTGGGAATGTTATTCCCACGCACTTTAGATTAGACAGCGTCTCCTTTTTGACAAAAATATGAAATAATTATTACACAGTCTTGGCACATAAACCACTAATATTTCCTTGCTACTTTGAAAATTTTCAAAATATTTACGCTACACTTGTTTACCTCGAGTGAATTCGAATTATCCTGACGCGGAAATCGAATACATAAATTATCAAAAGAAATCTAATCGCAATAAGGTATACGGTAATTCGACTGTAATTACCTTGACGGTCCAGAACTGGAATTTTGTTTTCAGAATTCACTTTCACTAGTCAACTCACACAGGCTGCATATGAAGCTAATCCTTGAATCCAAGAAACGATTTTGAATTTAAAACTCCCGTCAAAGCGCTATTCAAAATATGTCTTTTCAACCATATCTCAAAGCGCAAATACAGTGAAAAGAGCCGAGTTAAGGCATTGCCAATCCAGGTACTTCAAGAAAACAAAGATTGGCAGTAAAAAAAATGCAGTATTTTATTTCAATCCCACGTCCATTCCGTCTGCTGTTGGGCAAAATATTCCCATGCTATATTTTTTTGCAGGCAGTTCAGTGGCTCCCGAACCAGGAAAACACTTCAGAAATATTGCAAGCATCGCTTACGGATAATACACCGCCTCCGACGACAAATAAATGACCGGCAAAATAGTAATTAAGTGTGGAAAATTATTTGTCAATCCCGCTAATTTCTTCCGGGGGACTGGCTAGCCATTGTCCGGTATCGATCTTGTTTCTCTGTGCGGGTAAATTAGATTCCGTTCGATCCAATCAGAAGAAAATACACACTTCATATTAAAATTTCGGTTTGTAATGTTCATTCTCCTCCCGACACTGCGCACTACTTTAAAATGCAGACTGAATGACAAGGAAGACTGTAAAAAAGGGTCTCAGTTCTTATTTTTGTAGTAGTGGCGAAACAAAAAGGTCTAATACGTTTGTATATACTATTCAAATATGCGCTCAAATGAAAAATGAGTTTACTTAACTTTTTGGTCATTATTTATAAAGAATATCAACACCCTTAACTTTGGTCCATTTGTCCCTTAAATTAAGTGGAGTTATCCCAAACAACTTGACTGCTCGGGGCAATGTTACATTATCTTCTAGACATGGCATTATTGTCTTTTTTTTCTATACCGCCTGTTTTACATTGTTAGCCGTCTAGTGTACGAGACCTGGAGTTGGTTTACGTTTTTTGACAAGTAAACATGCTTCAATTGCATGCAGAATGTCGCACCGAATATTGCAGGAGGCGGGGTACATAATGCTACTCTTTAATTAAAAATGGACTGTGGAAAGAAACAATGAGAGCGGCATCATTGCTTGGCGCGTAACCCGCGCCTGCTCGACTGCGCTCTGCCCGGCCGTCCTCTCGCCCTTTGTCTGGCGTATCCTTTTGTTTTCCCCAAAAAGCCGTTGTCAGTCCCTTGTGATAATGCTTAATATGGATCACAATCAGGCAATACACTGGGGGCACGTGATGTCTGCATGGAGTATTAATTAATGAAGGTAATATCCGCCACTTGTTTTCGAGACCTTGTAACCAGCAGAGAAAGCCTGCCACAGTGGTTTTATTACTGTAAAGGGCTAGTAAACGGCTCCTAACCAATTTTCACGCATTTCACAGGCACTCTCTGGGCCTATATTTACATTTCTGGACGTCACCATTGTCATAATCGCCTGTATAGTACAGTAGAACATAGAAAGTGGTTTGGGGCCCAGTGCTAGCGCACTGGACGTTTTAATGTGGGTTTTCTATGTTGCTCGTGAACACTTTTGCCTTGAATAATTTTCCGCTTTTATGTGAAATTTAGATATGCTACAAATGTGATTAGCCATCCTCTAAATTCCATGGCCATTACGCGTATCTTTAGTGACTTCCTAAAAGCCTTTGTTACTATATCAAGATGCGTAATATCTGCGCAAATTACTGTATTTTTACCTGAGCATATTACGTAGATCATTAAGAGAGCGCTCTCTGCGCAGGCGCCACAACCTTTATACAGTTCCGTTTACACTGTGCTTGACTCACCTGCGTTCACTTGGATGTTGGGGCTCCTTATGGCACCCACACGATTCCTGGCAATGCACCTGTAGGTGGCCTCGTGCACTTCACTGACGTAGCCCTCAGGGGTGAACGGCGGGAAACTCAACGTTCCGTTCTCGGTCACGAGACGCAGGCCAGCCACGTCTGTGACGGGACTGTCATCAGCCGCTAGAACCCATTGGACAGCAGGCGTCGGCTCCCCGTATGCTGAGCACACCAGCTGCGCGCCTCCGTTGTGTGCGAAATCGACTCGGGGAGGGGGGACAGCGACGAACTGAGGACCAATAAGCTGATTGGTATTTCCAGTAACGGGCAGGCAAACTATAGGTGTAAAAATTAAATGGGTATCAGAGTCACATGACCACAATAATTCCAGCAATAAAACTATAAATGAAGTGAGCGTTCAAGCAAACTGCCCCTAAAAATATCATGACTTTTCAACTTGTTTCTTTCCAACGGTAATTTTGCAAGTACTAGTTCCTATCTTAATTTCTTCCCTTTCCTGTGGCAAGAAACACAGAAAAATAATATACAGAAGGACAAAAGTGAGCAGACTGGTGTATAGAATAACAGGTATGGTTTATTAAATAGTCCCTGAAATACCCGCAAGTTAACACTCCACTTTCAATGACCTTCATATATTCATTGCAATATCCTAAAGAACAGTACCAGCAGTGTGAATTCGGTCATGCGAAGGTCTGTTCATACTCAGCGCGAAAGCGAACACGAACGCAAAATGGTGACGTCAGATCAAACATTCACGTTGCGAAATCGCAAAAGTTCAACCCATTTCAACTCGGGCGAAATTTTTGGTGACGTCGAATTCGTTTTTGTATTCGCCTGAAGTATGAACCGGCCTTTCGTCGTTTAATCCCCATAAACATTGCAATCACAACCTCTAAATGGCATTTTGTAAAGGCTCTCACGATCAACGCCTGCACATGAACGCCAAATGTTATGAGACCCATCAAGTGAAAATGTCGCCAAAGGCATGCCGTAAGAATACACTTTATGACAATGGCAATGACTGACGTTGCGAAAATTGCTCTGATAATAATAGCCACCCGACAGCGTCTTTTTTCAAACCAGAACTTCGTTTCCACATCCAACAATCTTTTTACATCGCTTTATTCTCGAAAGAGTTCAAGCAGAACGAGTTGTTCGCGCCATTAAAATCTGCTAAATAAACGAGACATTTCCAAACAACACAAAACACGTGATATTTCACCGGTAGCTTACTCCAACAGTTCAATTTGAGGTAGAATTATAATAGCAAACAAATAACCTTTTATTGGTCATTACCTCCAGGAACAGGACGGGTATTGTAAGTACGTGTACCATGTGATGGCCCGGCCATTTCAATGCTGAACACGGACATTTTGCTGGTAGTGAAAAGTATACACCGATTCTCATCTCACGTGAAGTCTTTCAACCAGTTTGTCCGTTCTGCCATTTGAGCTTTGTATGTATGTATTGGCAAGAGGCCATTGTTTATTGACAGTCTTTTTGGTATGATTTTGTGAGCGTGAAATTCTAAGGAGGTTTCACTTGTCGCCATTCAGGGGTCTTGGCATTTTTTTCCCCACATGGTAAACTTCCAATTGCTTTATAATGTAAGGAGACGTCATTATTGCTAGGACACAACACTCGTTCACATCTCATTTGCGTTTTTATCTTTACGCCACGACACATCACGCACGAACTGTGTATAAGCATGTCGTAGTACTCGCGTAGTGATGGCATCTAAAATCCCCCCTCTGGTCGCTAGATGTCGGAAACCATGCAGATTCTCTCCCACAAATATTATTTTTATTGTAACGCAACGATCGTCGCTCTGCTGCATGATCAATCTAACGTTATCAGAAAGATTGATTTTGAAGGCCAACATTCAACCTCGCTGTTAACAAGTTCATTTAAAGGTCATCCTGTCTGTATTGTTTTCATCAATATACCCCAACTTTGTATGTAAAGTTACAGTTTTCTAGTACTAAACGGCAAGCAATACATTATTAGTTTAACTAGGTATACAGTACCCCACTGGATTGCTACACTGAAACGCAGAAGAACGAATACACATGCCACCATATACTGAGCACAAAGCCAAAAGAACATCGATGAAAAAAAAATTATTTGCAATATATTCAGGAGTGTTGCCAGGTAACATTCAAATCTTTCTTAGAACTATTTCATTACTGATTTTTCTCCTGCTTATGACACTATTTATCACCCAGAGTACCGCGGGAAAACTCCGTTGATGTTTACTGATCAGATATAACTTCCGCTGTCGAATCAATATTCTCGAAGAATGCATTCCATTACGGCAATAACTCTACATGTGGATATTTCTAACATAATGGGCTAATTTGCCAATTTATCCATGCCTGTGAATGGGACAAGTCATAAAATAATGACAAGCCTAATGAGAAATCAAATGACACCGACACCACGGGAGTTACAGAACACATTTATTCCTGTAACGTGTAAGAAATACAGGCGTGCTTAACAATTAAATTCAGGTACATTACTGAACATATTAAAAATCTTTAACATTAAGCTTTGGGACGACAAATATGAAGATTCAAAATAAATAAGCAGTTTTGGCTTTGTGAAATTAAAGTATATAAATAATAAAAATATAAAATATATCAATAAAATACATTTATTTTAATGGATAGGATTGAATTTGCATAAACTAACACCGAAGCATAAATTCATTTGCCACTTTATTTTCAGAGATCGTGTAAAGACTGTTTCAAAACAAGGCTTTATCTAAAATAATACACGGTGTGTCTGAAAACGCTCCAAAACTGCGGGTCATAAGATGATTATATATCACACCCATATTATTTGTATAATTTATGCGCGTCCAAATTTATTTACAGTAGTCAGTGCACCAGGAGAACCGATTCCTTTGCATGGCGAAGGAATTAGATCAGTATCAGGGAAGATTTTCAGTGAGATTGTCGTAATGCACAGTTTCCCTTTGAGGCACACCAAGTGAGCTGGTTGGATGCTTTGTTTCTGAATAGTCGAGGTAACAAGAAAATCACTGGGAAAAAAATAGACAAGCTACTCCTCCTATGCATAATTTCTTTGGCGTCCCAACTCTACCAATCAAACTCCTCATTTCTTGCACATTTTTGCACTGTCCCTAATGTTTCCCAATTTCAGTCTGTCTTTTGGTATTCCGAAAAACGAAGACCATCCCCGCTGAAAGTTGGAAATTAATTTCTGATTACAGATTGATGACTGTGTACAAGAATGAGCAATTTTGTGATTAGCGTACCGGGAACATGACTCTTGATTCATGCTCCGTTGATTCCCGCTAATTCGGGTTTCATTTGTTTTGATTAGTCAAATATTGGCGCTGAGGGAGACACGGACTTCCAATCCCTCTCCCCATCAGACATGAGTAGCTCCGGATGCCCGTGGCTCCCAATCTCTCGGTATTACTCATAATATAATCACTTGCAAGCACGGGTCGAAAAATTCCCGGGTTTACACCATCGAGGGAAAGGAACCTCCTTGGTTACATTAACAGCGACGGAGGAGTTAACGGGTGAGGTAGATGGGGCCCGCTGTGGCGCGTCGCCACAGTCCCTTCGCTCGTTAATCATTGACCGCCTTTATACTGTTGGCGCTCGCTGCCCTGGGAGTGATTAAAGTTGATCCGTGAGGAGTTTCCCACACCGCTCTCCAACTGCTCTTCTTTCCAACTTCATTGGCTCAAAAACTTGGCATCCCGCGAACTGTAGACTGCGCCCTGAATCTTACGGTGGGTGGGGCTTATATTAATCTTTTCAAAGGCTCGGTAAAACTCTTACCTGATTCTTATTTCAAATGGAAATCATTGTATGATGTATTTCAAGTCCACCATTTTACATCATCAGCATTTCATCCTGATTGACGCCTGATACTTTTACTTAAAGCCACGACTCGGCACTTTAAGTCGCTTCCTCCAATCCACCCCTGCTTAAAGTCTAACAGATGAAGCTACATGGTGTTCGTGCATTTTTCTGCTCACCGTACATTAATTCTATCCATTTGTGTGTACCTGGATCGTGCCCTTATCTTTATAGCATGAAATAGGCAGGTTTCCAGGCCAATTTAATATCTGCTGGTGTGGTGTGTTCTGTAGGGCGTGATATGTCTGACACAGGGAGTTAGACCACCTCTCGAGCAGCTTAATTTTTTTCTGGGAATTGCGTTTGAGCTCAGAGCGACTCCCCTGGTACATTTGCGGGGCACCGTTCCAAGTCAGTTACGCCTTCAAACCAATGTTGAGCTAGAACCCACCCAGGCAGATCTTCTAAGGCAATCGAAGTCGGCTGTACGTCCACTGCCATAGCATGGGTGCTGTGGCACACGTAGTCTTCACTTAGCCTGCTGTGAAACGAATTGAAGAGACACTTGAAGGAATAGACGACACACTGGGAGGCAATAACTTCCTCGCGAAGGGCGCACGCATTTGGGCTTTGAAAATTTCATGACAGTAATTATTAAGTCCACGCCCATCTTTTTGAAACCTAATACAAACCTTGGCTAGTGGAGGGAAGTGACGATGAATACAATGATATCAATATGAAGAAATGTTGGTTTTCAGTTGGTGTCCACATGATGTTTGCCCCAGCTAATAACCTCATTGGTTACAGCAAGTATCTTCGGTCTTCACACAGCCTACTGGGAGGGATGCATGCACAGAAACTGCAACTCTAGATTTAGATTACAAACTAGGAGGCTGTTCTTCAAGGTTTTTTTTTTAAACATTATTATTTCATATCAGATTCATGTCCATAGCTGGCAATAAAGCCAAACGAGGAATAACCTGTGATATGGCACCCGACAGGTTGTTATTAAGTCTGACCAACTCTTGTATTACACACTGATGTTGGTGTAACGAGACAGGGGGGACATGGCTTCCGGGTGTGTGTGAGTTTGTTTCTGCATTCAATTGGGGACCCTCAACAATAGAGGACAATAAGGTCCGAGATTGACAGAGGGTCCCCGGTTGACAACTGTGTACAAAACATATGGGTGGTCTTCTAAAGACGTTAAAGTACAAACAAAAGAGGAACAATAGGGGGTCCCCAGTTGCAGGCAAATACACACTTCTATGTGTGCGGGGGGGGTCTGTTCCTGTTCACTTCTTAGTCTGGTAGCCAATCCGACTCCATGGCCAATTTTTTCGCACCCGTCGAAGTGATAAAACCATAATCGCGTGTAATGTTATAAACAAGGAACCCCACTCAGCAATTTCCATGCCATCTTCGACGCATCTGTTTGTGGACACATCCTTGACTGGCCGCTGTCGAAGAGTTTAC